ATATATATGAAAGAAGGAAGAATTTGGTTCATATTATTTTGAATGGGCCGGATTATTCTCTTTTTTTTTTTTGTATTGATAACAAGCCACTATCTCATCTCTCTCCTATCTACTTTTCTTCTACGTGGATTTGTTAGTCGTCTGGGACCGGAAAAAGAAGAAGATTGGTCAACTTAGAAGATTTCTATGAGTTCATATTGTTTGACTTCGTCAACCTTGAAATCTTGAAATATTGAGTAGACATTTTGACCTGTGGGTGACTTTTGTTTCTTTTAATTTCTCTTTTATTTATTTATTATTATACCGGAAGGTTGAAAATTGGTTCTAAGAAACACCCAATTAAGGCCGTTACCCTAACAGGCAAATAAGATGAATTATTGAGAAGTAAAAGCAAACCGTTTTATTTCAACAAACAATCCATGCTTTGGAAACCAGAAATCATATGATCTATGAAACATGATATCAATCACCAAATCTAGTTAGGAAAAAAAAAACACAAATTTTGGACTAGAGATATTATGTGATCTTATGAAACACAATATCAATTACGAAATGAAAACAATATTATTTAAACAAACGAAATTCAAGAACATGTTTTTAGTTTCAATTTTGGAAACAAAAAACACATATACAACCACAAATGTATTTTATATTTGTTTTAAGAATTAATTTGTTTTCAAACCATATGGTTTTGATTTGTTTGGAAACTCAAGCAATAAAAATAATTCACATTGAAGAGCATCCTTTAAAGTGGTGTTTGGTTTGTGGTTCTCGAGAAAGATAGCATGGTTCATTTATTGAATCATGATATGTGAGTATTGATTGCGTGATTCATGTGCATATGTACTTTTACAATTTACCTTTAATCGCACCGTCATCGTTGAGTGGAGACATTATTGTTGGAGATATGTTGACATGTAAGACACACAATATAACCAGATGCCTAGTTGAAAGAAAGCTATAAAAAGTTGTGTTCTATTTTGCTGGTTTTGGAACCCTGTATCACTGATTCTACCAACAACATGGACATGTGGAATGCTAATTCCTTTCTGTGTTTGGTTTGAAGGAAAAAGTAGGGAAAGGAAGGGAAAGGTAAGGAAACCTATACAAGCCTTCCTTTCCCTTCCTTTCCCTACCTTTTCCTTCAAACCAAACATAGCCTTGTGGCATGTTCATGAACCAGATGAAACATGAAGACAACCACAAACCGAAGACCCCTATTCGTCGAACCGAATTCATTATATCGCTTTTTCTTTTTACGGATAAGCATTTAAAGTAGGGGGGATCTCTTTTATTGCGAAACGGAAAGTCGGTACAACGACTTTACCCTTCATTATTTCATTATATTATATTTTTATTTGCTAAAAGACAAACTAATAAGCATTTCATTTCAGCCAATTCAGCAGTTATGAAATGACCCATTAATGGATGTATTTCTGCTCATTCTCTATTCAAAGATAATTGTTTATTAGATTCCATTTGGAAAGAGTGCAAATACAAATATGTTCAGTGCAAAACCTTATATACGGTATTTCTAAACCTTGTATCTGAACTCTTTCCAAACTGAGCCTTAAGTAGTATAACTAAAACATGCTTTTGTTAATGCCCGGGCAATTGCATAAAGATCTTTTATGTAAAGAGAACATGTATGTAAGATCTTCCTCTAACATAAAAAAAAAATGCTTCAAAAAATCATTTCCTATATTAATCACTTTTCCATAGAACATATATGATATTTTATGCTGATTATAACTCTATCCATGAATAAGGAAAATGGTATTTATGAAGGAATTAATATTGATAAAACATATACAACCTGTTAATACCCCAAGCTTTGCATAAATGACAAAATTATTTTTGTTATATAAAAGAAAAACAGAAGAATCTTCCTACAATGTTAACATTAAACCATAAGAATGAGGTTTTAACTTTGAACTAAAAGGGGCCTAGTTCTGATTAACCTGTTTAACCATCTGATTTGGTCTAGGTTAATTTCAAATCATTGCATATTGTTTCCTTTTATTAATAAGTGAATAAAATTTTTAGTTTCAAATGCTCCATATGTTTTTCTTTCGAAAATAGGCTTTGGAAATATCATTTTTTTTATTAACTATTCTTTTCCTAATGAGAAACATATGAGATAATTGACACAATAATATTTTTTTTTACTTATTCATAAAATAAAAATTTAATATTTATTAAGAAAAATATTAATTACTAAAATGTTAACATATGTAAGACATAAACTATAATTAATTAATGGATATAGCTTAATGTATTTTGAAGGAAACTTAACTTAATGTTGATCATATGTATGTATGTGTTATGAGCATTTTTCTTCCTTGCATTGTCTCTATATGCTGAATGACATCTTGTGTTAAAAGGAGAAGGAAATAAGTAGGGCGAGGGGGGAAGTGGTCTGTGAAATCGTCCCTAAATCAACTTCACAGGTATATTTTTGGTATACTTTTATTCTCAGTTGCAAGGAAATTAGGAACTCTAAAAACACTTAATTTGGTGATATATATATACGATTGAATTGAGAATAGTGAATTTGTGGGTATCTTTTCTAGATGTAGTAAAAAAAATGCCAAACCATATAAATCTCGTATGCATTTGTTATCTTTGTCTACATTTTTTCCCTTTATTTTTTCTTCTTTTGATTCTCCTTCACAACACCAAGCCATTAGAGGAATTATGTATGTGCTGCCCTTTCAAAGCCTTTTTTTAACCAGCACATACATGTGACCTTTACCTCACAAAGAGTACCGAAAATATAAAAAAAAAAAGAAAATTATTGGGCCATTTGATCATACCTAAAGTGGTTGAACTAAAAGGCTTAGGAGGTTGTAGGCTACTTAATCACTGAAGCTGAAGTATGGGTAGATTATTAAATATTAATTATAGCATTGAATGTTTATTAATTAATTATTTCATTCACTAAAATACAAATCAGTAAGATGCCCAATTCAATAACTTAACCTTAATTTATTTTATGGCCTCTAATTGTTTTTGTTGTATAAGCATTTCTTTTTAACTGTCTAAAATGAACTTTTGTTCTGAAATTCTTTGAAAAAAGGGTTCTTTCTTTCCTGATGAAATTTAGTTAATGATGCACAAGGTTGCCCGTGTGCTATACTCAAGAACAAAAATAGGAAGAACAAGGTTCTAAGTTTAGAAAATTTAGCCATTTTGGACCCTTGATCTTAATTGAAATTTATCAAAAGTTTGGTATTTTGAACATGTTTTGATATATTGTAATTATTTATAATATTTGATGATACATAGTTATATATCATTTTTATTATTTTAGTAATATACAAAAAAAATAAATGGTTGAAATTCGAAGATTTCAAAGTTTGCTCAAAGCCCACAAAAAAATTGTTTCATTGGAACACTCATTTTGAGATTAAACTTGTTTTCATATTTATCTCTACCGTAATGAATTTCTAATTTTATACCTTTTCAAATTAAAAGAAAGAAAAAAAAATGAAATAGTATTAACTCCTATTCAATCTTTTTCTTTTTGAAAATTTAACTCCTATTCAATTAATCCAGTAAAATATTCCTCCATTCTATGACTTATGTTGAGAAGGGGTCACTGCCAAGAATTCAAGAAACCACAGTCCTTCACGAGGAAAGCAAAATCAGAGACCAAAAATTCCAAGCAAAACTGGTGCAAGATGGCTGAAAAATAGGGGTGACGGGTGACCCCTAGGCTCAGTTTAGAAAGAGTATAAATGTAAATATACAATATAAATATATACAAAATAATATAAAACATAAGGTTTTGCACTCTACATATTTACATTTGTACTCCATCCAAACTGAGCCCTAATTCCAGCTGATTAATGCAATAGAGGGGGAGAGAGAGAGGCTGCTGCAATAACGGTTGTGATTTGTGAGAAGCTACAGCCACCACCGAACCCATCATCATGACATGCAAAAATACAATTGTGGGCCCTTAGCATCTTTTAGGGCTACAATCTTGGGCTGACGAGCGTGGGTCTAAGAGCAGAGCAGCCAGTCAGCCACCTTGTTCGAATAGATGCCAAAGGGTCGACTTCCAGTTCAATCCAGTCCAGTCCGGTCTTGAGTCTATTACCCCCTCCCAGTCCCAGACACCCCGGATAGCTGAGACCATTATTGGCCAATGTCACTCAACTTTCGAGGACAGCCCAAAGGCCCAAACAGAGTTATAGAGAGCTGGCAGAAGTGGGAAGCGTACGGGGTAAAGCGGTGGGGTGGGAAAGGAAAGAGGGAGGTGTTCCCACAGTGACAAGAGAGGTCTCTCATCTCATGCATTTATTCTCTGTGTATTAGATCTTACTTTGCAGGTACCAAAGATATGCTCCGCTTCGAAAACCGCATTCTTTCCTTTCCAGTTCCCACTTCTCACTTCACCCCCCCCCCCACACACACCTCCTCCCGACGCCTACCTCTGGTCTGCTGGCATTTAGGAATTGGAATCCTAACACACACACAAATTCTCTCTCTCTTTCTCTCTCCTCTATTATTTATTCACAATCTGGGTGCAGGTGTATCCATCGACAATCCAGGAAACCTTAAAAAAATGAAAGAAATGGAGTCAGGGAGTAAAGTATGCCTGCATTCATGGCCGTTGGATCCCGTACCTCAAACCCAATAACACCACCAAAACATCCATTCCAACGAAAGACGTGCTTTTAAGGTAAACTAAAATCGAAAAGCATGCATGCATGCATTTATGGCCGTCTGATTTTCCTGTGTGTAGCCTGTAACTCTTCCCAAGAGGATGATGTACTTGAGAAGAGAGAGAGAGAGAAAGAGAGACAGGAAAGGATCAACTCGGTGCAGCGAGACTCCAATTAAAAAACAAAGCAATCAAACATGGATGGAGGCATGGAGCCATGGAAGAGGAAAGAGAACAAGAGGTATAAAAGTATAAAACTGTTGAAAAAGATAAAACGCATAAATTAAAAGCACATGCACAAAGATGAGCAAACAAACCACCTTGTCGCTTTGCCAAAATCAAAACCCTCCTTTACTTTCTTTACCTGTGCAACTCTCTTCTCTACTTATGTTCTCTTCAATTTCATTCATTGTTCTTATAAGAGTTTACAGAGACTACTACTCCGTTATGCTAACAACTACTATATAAAGCTAAATCAAACGACCAAATAAAGCTTACTTCGATGTAACAGTCAATTACTCTGAAGAGACAGAGTCTTTCTTTTAATCAAAATCACCCCCCAAAAAAAAAAAAACCAGAAAATCGATTGTTTCTCCCTATCTACATGGATACTCATTCCATATCAAAAGAACTCCGTCCATGTCCCTGTCATATGATATGATGCAGCTGTGTGTTGATCATTCCCACCAACAAGATTCACCTCAAAAACCCACCAATCAATTAAAACAAAAGGATTTAATTGTTTTGTATGGAAAAGAAGAAAAGAATTCCTGAATTCAGTTTGTCAGCTCATAAAAGCTTGATGATATATAGTTATAGGAAAGATTGTGAAGAAGATGACGGAGGAGCATAACCTGGTGGATCAGGCATCCAGTGACCTGGGTTCATGGAATGGCCAGTAGCACTGCTGTTAGTGGCGCTGTTGCTGCTCCAGTAACCCGCCTCGGAGACGATGGGGTTACTAGGGTTGATGAAGCTTTGGTGCCATTCCTGATACGAAGTACAAGGCCTGGTTTGCTGATGAATTGTGTTCTCTTCCGAAGGCAGCAGCTGATGTATTGGCGTCTTATCTCTACCAGCACCCCCACCAATCTGGAATAACTGCTGTTGCTGTGCTTGTTGTTGCTGTTGGGGGCTGAAAGACGGCAGACTGAATCCCTGTAGCAAAGCCAGATTAGAACCGCCGAACTCCCCGGCGACGTTCATGGGCTGATTCAACGATTGAAGCGCTGCTAACGAAGACAGAAACCCTCCACCTGGATAGTAAATAGAAGGTGGGTTGGGTGCTACCGGAGGGATGTGAGAAGGTGGGATCATCAAATCTACTTCTTTGGTCCTCAGAGTAGGATTACCACCACCACTGGTGGTTATGACTGTAGAGGTGGAGGTTGTGGATGAACCGAATTGTTGCTGCTGCAGCTGATGCTGTGATAGCTGGGGAACCGATGGCAGTTGGTTCTGTAGATTATCGGCGGTATAGGATTTTTTTGATCGCTTTCCCTTCCTGCAACCACCGCCCACGGGGACGTTCCGTAGGGTTCCCCCTTGAGTCCAGTACCTTCTGCAAGTCTTGCAGAAGTAACGCGGCTGCGAGAGGCTATAATTGTTGTAATAACAGAACTTGGTATTCAGAGAGTCACAACGCGGGCATTTCTGAGGCTGTTGTTGCTGCTGCTGTTGATTCTCCGGTGGTGGGGGTTTCACCCGTCGATCATGCTGTTGCAACCCCTTCATCTGGTCCATTCTTCCTCCTCCTGCACCTGCTATTCCTCCACCACCACCACCACCTCTATCTTGCTGCATCTCTCTCTTCAGATCGCTCTATTTCTCTAATTCTTCTTGTTATATATATGTCAGAGGGACGGCGAGACGGGCGGGGAGGTGAGTTAATTCAAAACGAGCTGTAGCAAATGTTTGGTGGTGCATGCAGATATTGGGGTACGGGATTTGCGGGGAAGGTGCCTTTGCCGTTTCAGTAAGCAGATGTGAGCTCAACGTGTCTGTTTCCAGCCCAGGAGAATCTGCACAGAGAGCAAAACAACGGCGATCCTTCCTGAATGCGGATTTCCGCTCCAACCAAAAACTCCCTCCACAGTCCACACACACACACACAAAGGTTTGTTTAGTAATAAAGAAGAAATTAAGATCTCTTTCCGACCCAAAACAAAATCTTCTCAATCTCCCTCCCTCCCTCTCTCTCTCTCTCTCTCTCTCTCTCTCTCTATCTCTATTATGTTTACGATCTCTCTCAAGTTTTGTCTCTCATGGGGGATATGGAATAGAGATAGGGATAGAGAGCGAGAGATGTTGGTTAGGGAATAGATACCAACCTGTTATCCTGCAAGCCGTCTGATAGGAGGTGGTACGGTTGCTGCACGTCGAGATAAAAGAGAGATAACAGGTTTCCTAGACAAGAGAGAAGCGAGAGAGAGAGACGTCTCAGTCCGTGAGAGAGGAGAGTCTTCAGGAAGCAAAAAACGAGTTCAGTAAAAGTACAGTACCAGAGGAAACTGCTTCATCACCTGTATTATGGGTTCCATCCCATCTCAGTGATCTTATCTCAGTTACCCAGAACAAAATTAAAATAAATCAGAAATAAACAAGACAGAAACCCAGTTCACCCTATCGGATCAAACAACCCAAAGACATGAAAGAGAGTAGATAAAGAAATTCAGAACTCAGTTCAATTACTAAAAAGCAGCAGCTTTGTGACCAAAAACTAAACAAAAAAGAAAAAAACGAGAACCCGGAGAAGAAGAAGAAAAAGGTGGAGGATGGTCAAATAAAGATCTGATCAGTATAGATGATGGAGCACGAGGGCTTGACTTAGAGGCGGCTGCCGAGCGTGGTGTGGCGGTGGACGGTGGTCGTGAACGGGTGGCTGTCTCGGTGGTGAAACTACTCACTTCTCCTAACTAGACCGCTTCCAATTAAATTCTCTCTCTAATCTCTTGTTCCAAGTTTTCTATTAATTCTCTTCTGTGACATAATAACATCACTTTTTTATTCTTTATTCTCATAAACTAATACACAAGACGCGCATCCATATCATTTCACTCCCAACAAGTATCAATTAAACTATCTGACTGAGATTTGCATCTCTCTCTGGACTCTGATCTCCTCTCCTCTTCACCAGACAGAGAAGAAAGATGAATGAAGGCCGTAGCTCTGAGGTGGGTTCGATTGGAGTGGAGGGAAACGGCGCGTGGCCGAGCCACGTAACAAAGACAAGGCGAAGGAGAAGGGGATGACGTCCGTGTCCGTTAACTCTTGCAACTGCTCCACGGCCACAGCCTCCGCACCAAAGGACAAACACTAACATTTTTAGTTCATGGATGGAACATAAAAGTCTGGGAAAAATGAACTTAATTACAAAGGATCCGTCAACAAGACAACAATCCTCTACTAGAATTAGCCCTACAAATAGCACTAACCCAAATTACTTGATCATCATCAGGATTATTCAATCCATGGACCACAATTCCAGACACCCCCC